CTGAAGGTAACATGTATTTGACGGAATAGTTGAAGTATGCATGAATTGGCCAAACAAAATTATTATAGAAAGAGAATAAATGTAATGTGAAAATATACATTAGATATACTTATTGACTTGGTCTATGTACCATTATATTTTTTAAACAACAATTATTTTTGGTAATTCTCCTAAGAATTATGTATGCCAAGCAATAAACTATGGAGTATTCTCTTTCATCTTTTGTTTTTAAAATTTTAATTAAATCATTGTCAAAATTCCCCAATGCTAGCAAAAAATTCCTGTTCTTCCCTAATCTGTCTAGAGACAAAATAAAGCCTCATTTGAAACTCAAAACGAGTCTAAGTACCAAATTGTCTACTACTAAAAGAAAGAGTTTAACATCCTTAATTTATACTTAAAAGATAATTGTCTAAATATAATGATCCATAATTTGTTAGAATAAGTTAAAATATAAGTAATTGGGAAAACTTAGAAGATAATATTTAAACCACGAATATGCATTATTCCTTGTGAATTATTGCATATATAGGACCCATTTGGACATAGATTTTCAAATATTTTTTGAAAAAACTGATTTGGGTGAGGTTTGAATTGAAATTGAAAATGTGATTGAACATGAATTCTGGAGTAAGTTTTGACATGTTAATTTTTTTTTTTTTAGCTAAAAAGTCCCAAATGGTCCTGGTTTGGCCAAAAAACAATGGCGGATCTAGAGTGCAGTTACTGGTTTCTTGAGAACCCAATAACTTTTGCTTAGACGCTGTATTTCTATTAAAAAAAGTTTATAAATATTTAATTGTGAATCCAATTATTATTGTATATTAATTTGAGATTACGATAGAAACCTATATATTTTAAATTCTGAATCGGCATCTGCCAAAAAGAGATCTTAAGCTATATTCCGAATTTGAAGTTTTGATAAATCAAGATCTCTCAATTGAACGATGTCGTATTAAAGTTGGAATAAAGGCAAGAAAGCAACAGAAGCAGAAAGCAATCCACTTCGATAGACTGAGAGATAATCTTCAATGTACGGCGGAACTCCGTCGGGCGGAATAGGAATCAGCGGTAGTAGTAGTGGAGGAAGAGCATGGCCGTCGACGACGTCGGTATCTAGTTCCGGTAAGAGAATACAGAAGGAAATGACTGAACTGAGCATAGAGGCACCACCAGATTGTGCAGCTGGGCCTAAAGGCGATAATCTTTACCATTGGGTTGCTACTCTCTTCGGCCCACCTGGTCAGTCTTCTATTCCTCTCTCTTTGTTTATCTACAAAGAGTTAATCTTTCATTTTCTTGTGGATCAGTGTTACAAAGTGTTGAGTTTTTGTTTTTTGTGTGGATGATACTGTGAAGTGTTAGGGTTTGAAGCATAAAGTTGGATACTTAGTCCACTTTGGGAATAAGTACTATTATACAGTATTTGCAAACTTGCAATTCAGTATTTTAGAATTTGCACATAGTGAACTTCAAGAGAAATATTGAAATAGTTGTTTGAAGGTATATTTCAAGTGAAATGCTGGTTTCGGGCTTTCGGCTCATATATCTGTTTTTTAAGTGAAGTTCGCGTCCAAACACAATTGAACTTCCACAAAAACTATTCATTTTAACTTCAGCTCGAATATCGTCCAAATGGTAATACTCCTTTAGTCCAATTTAAGTGTGTTGGATTGACTTAGAGTAGATTGACCAATTTGGTGTTGAAGTGTGTCACTGCATCATTTAGAAGATAACGATGCTTTTATTTACTTAATTCATGCATGTATTAACGCTTACTCTCTTGATTTTTCCGAAAAAAGAAAAAGAAAAAACTCCAAATGCTGTGTGGCCTGATTCTTGTAGGGGCCATGCACATGGAGATACTTTTTTTGTTAATGAGTCGTGGTGAGACTTGAATCCAACAATTATTTAAATCCTTCACGGCAAGATCCTGCATAAACTTATTTGTTGAATTGGCCTGATGATGTATAACACGTAGGGCGAAACCTTACTGTTAATGTATCTTGAATCTCTAAATAATAGGAAATGAAAAGGCTATTTCTGATGAAAGTGATTATTGTATTCTTCATGTTGATGTGGCTGTGCTTATTGTCTGGTTTCTTTTGAAGTTGGTTAAATATACATTTGTTTTTGCAAACCGAGTGCTGCTACAAGTGCTTCTTTGAATTCCATGGCAGCTCTAAATATGCTCGGGATAACAATTTTGAGCACTTAGTTTATTTGTTGGGTTAACATGAATTTTGGGTTTTTAAGTTTGATTGTATACTTCTGCTTGATTTTTAGATAATTAGATAGATATTATTTTTTTGCTTCGATTTGCTGAAGAATTCCGGGTGCTTCACAGACTGAATATCTTCCTGTTTCTTGCAGGAACACCTTATGAGGGTGGAATATATTTTCTCGATATAACCTTCCCTTCTGATTATCCATTTAAACCTCCAAAGGTATGTTGAAGAATATGCTTTGGTGAATGTATTGTGCATATAGTGTTGTACCTTTTTTTAAGCAAGGCATCTATTTTTCTATTTTGTCTGAATGAAAAACTTCCAATATTTTCCAATAAAAAGAAACTGTGTCTTCTGATATAAATGTTAAAACTAGTACGAGCTGAAAAGACCTGCACAAAGATTCGTGTTCACCCTCTTCTGATAAAATGTTTGCAGTGTACTTTCTGCTGAATAAAACTAACATAAGAAATGGTAATTGCTATTATAGAGAATTGCCTCCCATAAAATAGTCGCTTGATTGCTTCCCTTCCTTAATGAAAACTGTCATTTATGTTCTTTATTTTTGGGTCATATGTAAATGTATGATCACTCTGAGAACTTAATACTCTTGATGAATCTTCTATATATTTCTTCACATGTTTGATGAAGGTATCACACAATAGCTGGACATTGATCTTTTAAAGATGTAACGTCTTTTAGATTCTTTCATGAATCCTAAACATTGTTTCTGAGGATTTTGAGGTTGCCATGTCTTAAAATGGTAATTCAAATATTTTGGATTTTCATGTTCTTTACCCACAAAGTACCATCATGGTGGAAATTCAAATAATAGAAGCTTCTCTAGCCATTATAATTGCGAGACAAAAAGTTACACACAGATTAGAATTCTAGGAAATTATGCAGTGATGTTCGATTTGAGTGCTAAGTTTCTTTCTGGTTCTTCCTTGTTTCTCCTGATTTATCTCTGTGTAAAGGCTGAAACTTGAGCTAATGATGATTTCCTCTGTACTTGTATAATCTTCTTTATGGTTTGTGTTTAAAATGATCAATATGCATTATTGCTTGAAGAGGACAAAAAGAGAACAGCTGTGGAACCAGAAAATGAAGTGTATTATGCCATGAAACAGAATCATTCTCTATGCGACCAAGTCCAGTAAATTCATAAATTAATGATAAATTTGCTTCTTCCTAAACTTTGGGTTGGTGTACAATAAACGAGTAAAGTGAGGAAAGAATTCCGTAAGATCTGGTCGATGTATAGTTATTTTCACCTTTATACAGTACCATGCTTCTCAAGAACATAGTCTTTATTGTAATTAATCTGAACAAAACGACATGGGTGCCTTTGTTTGAAACATTTCCACTGCTAAATTCAGCCGATAAACAAAAATCATCTTCACACACTTAACAGTATTTCTTGTTTATCAGCTGAATCTGGCGGTGGAAACATTCCCTGGATATTATCTTTTAGGTCCCTTTTCTTTTCATTCTGACCTCAAGCTTTTGCAGGTTGTATTCAAAACTCGCATATATCATTGCAATGTTGAGCCTTCTGGAAATGTTAGCTTGGACATCCTAACAGATAACTGGAGTCCAGCATTAACAATCTCGAAAGTACTACTTGCTCTGAGATCAATGTTCACCACTCCAGAAACCTGTAAGTTCGTATCCTATCTGCAGTCCTTTGCCCTCTCTCAACCGAAGTAAAATAGACAAAAATATGTTAATTTTATGAGAAAAAAAATGCATAAAAAAAGACACATGTATTGTTTGATGAAAGCGTTTACAGGTGTTCATGCTGGACGTCCTTCCAATTATTTGGTTTCAATGGGTTAACTATATGAATATAATAACCGCCTTTTTTCTGCATTCTGATGGTAGTATCTTTTGATCCTGATTCTTGCAGATAAGCCAGTTGTTCCTGGTATTGCACACTTATACTTTGAAGATAAAGCCAAACATGATGAAATAGCTACAGAATGGACACTGCGATTTGCAAGGTGAAAAAAATGGAATTCTCTTAACAAGTTCTGGTCAGCCCCCTGCTTAGTTTGAAATTCTCCTTAGCTTTACTAGTTAACAGACATTGAAGAGCTGTTGTAGACTTGTAGCCGATATTTTAACTAAACGCCTGTATATAGTACATATGGATAAATTAGACTTACCAACCCAAAAAAAAAAAGAAAGATAAATTAGACTTCTGGTAGCTAACGTTTCAATTTTTCGTTGAGCCCAAGGCCTTATTTGTTTCATTTGAATTGTTCATTCCTTCATACTACTTCATTTACAAGTCCTTAAGGCTGAATCAATAAAACTGGAGAGCAGGTTCTACCGAAAATTGGAATAATCTTGCATTCCTTAAGGAGGGCGTAACGTGAAGTTTTAGGTTTGGGACAAGGGACTCTCAAATCCAGATATATATTTGGCGTCTCTTGTGGGTGTATTCACTGTTTTCCTTGAACTCCAGGTTCAATATTTAGTGGTATGTAGTTGATAGAAGAACAAAAAGAACTGCCCCCTTTTTCTGTTTATTTTTTAAGAAAAAGTCAACCTTTTACTTTGATAGTAGGATGCCATAACTCAAATGGTATCTTGACAGTTTTTTAATTATTTAAATTTATTTTTCTTAGTGTTAAATATTATTATTTCATCACCAGAACCACCAAATAGTGACCTAGTTTTTATTTGGAATTTGCTATCATCTTAGTGGGTAACCATGAAGGCATTGCATTGAGGAAAATAAGGATGTCACATTGCTATATAAAACCAGAGCTCCCTGCTCACTATCCAAGACAAGTTTAAGATCTTTTCATTCTTTCTCTAAGTATTGTTGGCAGCAGAAGCAAAATGACAAGCTTAGGAAAGTTGGGGCAATGGCCTTTACTTGTAACTGCTTTGGCAATTTGCATAGTAGCCAACACTGTTTTTGCTGATTACTCTTATGGGTATGCTTCTCCCTCACCTTCTTATGCCTCTAAGAAGTATTACAAATCACCATCTCCACCCAAGTATTATGTACCTACTCCTTACTACAAGTCACCTGCTCCTTCAAAGTACTACAAGTCACCCGCTCCCGCGAAATACTACAAGTCGCCCGCTCCCGCGAAATACTACAGGGCGCCCGTGCCCGCGAAATACTACAAGTCGCCAGCTCCTTCAAAGAACTACTACAAATCGCCATCGCCTGCAAAGTATTACAAGTCACCATCCCCTGCAAAATATTACAAATCGCCTACTCCCTCTAAATACTATAAGTCACTGCCACCACCAAAATATTATAAGTCCCCAGTTTACTACAAGTCTCCTCCACCACCAACTTATTATGGAAAATCACCTTCGTATTACAAGTCACCTCCACCACCACCAAAATATTACAAATCCCCAGTTTACTACAAGTCTCTACCACCACCAACTTATTATGAGAAGTCACCTCCACCCCCACCAAAATACTATGAGCAATCACCATCTTCTTATAAATCTCCACCTCCACCATACTATAAAGAATCTACACCTTCCTATAAATCTCCTCCACCGCCACCAAAATACTACGAGCAATCACCTATAATTTACAACTTGCCATCTCTACCAAAGACCTATGAAAAATCACCATCTTATTACTCACCTCCACCACCAGTAAATTATTACAAGCAAACTCCTACCTATGCCTCACCTCCACCACCTGAGAAGTACGAGCAATCCGCCACCTATGCTTCACCTCCACCCCCATCAGCATCTCCTCCGCCAACCTACTACTAATTTTAACTATTCAATAATTTCCCGCCATTTCCATGACTTTTAATTCCTTTTTGTCCTCTTACCTTTAGCAACTCCATTTCCTCCGCCAAAATTTGATTTATGCTTTCCGAAATGATCGGCTTTTGCTTATTGTGTGTTCAATGTTCTTCTATTTTAATAATTTGTATTATGTATTTATTTGAGATTTAAGTAAGATCCTCAAGATCTCCATTAATTCTGCTCATTATATCGAGATTCTGTGCATTCTACTTTTCTTAATTCTGTCATCTTCTTTGTCTAATAATGCGTGCTTTAATCGACTGAATTCTTTCGTTGGTCCATAAGTATATCTCATGTCATATATTCAAACTTAGTTGAAATGAAGTGGTATTGTGTCTTGAGAATTATTTTTCCCTAGAATGGTTTATAGCCTATCCACTAAAGAATTGCTAAATTACGAATATATTAGTTTGTTTTAACAGTTTCTAAAGATATAAGAAAATAATTGAAAGGCTAAAATGGCACACTTCTAAAATTAAATATTTGACAGCGTCTAAGACGGGGACACAAGGCGAGGTATATATTTCGAGACAGGGCGTGTAAGCTCTTCAATCTTATAAATTTTGCTAATTTATAAGTTACAATAACTTTGTATAATACCATGATATACCATCAACTACAATGCCCTAACAATCCAAACATCAAAAGAAAACAAGAATTATCTTTGAAACAAAGTGTGATGTAATTATGGAGAGGTAATTGAGTCGAGAAACACTTTCTTCATACTACTAATTTAACGTTTTCTCCTTTTTTATGACGAATTGGTACTAAGTCAGTTTGCACATACCTTGACTATTTCGCTGTATACCTAAAGGGTGGATTTATAGCTCAGATTATGGGGCACAAGAACCTATAGTCTCTCTGCCAAACTAGGTATTTTATGTATGCATTGTCTAGAATTGGTCTAATATTATCTGTGGCACCATACTCCAAAAAGCTGAATAATGCACTTGGTTGAATACTAAGTCATTTACCTAAAGAATAAGGATCAATTCCTACTTAGAGCCTGTTTGGAAAGCCATCTTGGAATTGTATTTGGGTGTAATTGGGTGTAATTACACAGTTTGGCATGTTTGTTTGGCCAAGTAATTACTTGGTCAGCATGGAATTTGGGGTAATTGGAGGGGTGTAATTACACTCTCCAATTCTCAAGGGGGAGGTGAGAATTGGTGGTATTACAAGGTTGCTTTTTAGTTTCTTTCCTTTTTATTTTTATTTTAATTTATTTTCTTTATAACTTTTTATTTTTATTATTTTAATTTTTTAATTTTATTTTTACTTTTTAATTTCTTTTGAAATTTTAAAATATATTTTCTTTGTACATTATTTATCTTTTATTTCACTATCTTTACTTCTTGTGATTCCATGTAATTGCTTATATTTTATTTTTTATTTATTTTATTATTCTATTTTTTGAAACTACACCTCCTAATATTAGAAATAATGAGTCATTAATAAACTTGGCATATAATGAGTGATGCGATTAAAGTGGAACTTCGTTGTTAAATGTGGTTATAAACTTATCATGTTTCCTATCTTAAGTTGCAGTGGGACTTACTATTATTATGTTGGAATTTGACATAAGTTAAACTATTTTATTTTTTTGAATTTTTGAAATTGTGTTATATTCATGGTTCCAATTTACTTATTTTGTAGTATTGACTCACATTGCATGTTGTTCATTTTTTAGTTAGAATTGGTAGATTAGTTTTGTCAAACATTTAAATAATGTTATGACATTATATTTATAAATATTAATTTATTTTATCAAACATGAATTCCATGATGTTCTTATAAAACGTATATTTTATTTAGTTTTTGTAAGTATCTAAAATAAATATTATTAATTTAAAATATATATATAAAAATTATTTTAACAAAATTAGTTATAAATATATGATTATTAATTAATGTATATTCACGAAAAAATATACATCTTAAATACCAAATATATCATCATTTATACTTATAAAATCTTATAGGTATATATTTATTATATTAATTTTTAGTTTTGATAATTATTTAATTTAAAATTTAATCTAACTGTGTAATTACACTTGTGCAACCAAACAGTAAACTTGTAATTACACTATGACAAACAAACAAGCTATCGTAATTACACAAGGTTGTGTAATTACTACCCTAGTAATTACACCAATTCCAATTACAAGATGACTTTCCAAACAGACTCTTAATATTTATTTTTGGTTCTTTTTTAGTGGTGCACCATGTTCTAGAAATTCTAGATCCGACTCTGGTGTATTTGGCACCTCCTACCTGTACATGTACCTGAGTAACACTAACCAACTTGGCTTCGGTGGGAAGAAACCATCTAGTTTGTTAAAGACTAATATTAATATTACTAAACTTCTTGTTTGAGATGCAATCAAATGTTAGATAAATCAGAAATGGTTACTTAGCCTTACATGAATAATTACAATTACATAATTCAACTCCAGCACGATGTGCTTCCAACTGGTTAATAAATTAACATCTTACAATACTATGATTCGTCAATAAAAGAGAAAACTTTTGATATAGTTGTTTGTAAATTGTTATTTTCTAACACTTACAGTTTTCACACCCCCATGAAATGAAAAGGACACTATTATTATCAACCGGAATAGAGTAATTAAAAGAACAGAACTTGAAGAAAAAAATATAGACTGTAATTATGAAGACCTTGCAAAAGTTTAGACATAACTATTTTTCCTGATGAAAGGTTCCATCAAAATTCACCCTTATAGGGTTCTTAGTGCAAAACAATATTAGGACCCATTTTTCAGTTGCAATATTTCAACTTCTAATTTATGAATCAATGACGATGGCTTTTAAAGAGTTAAGATTTAGTTAAGGATTTTTTTGGATTTACAAAGCTAATTATACGGGTGAATTCAAAAATAGCCATATTTACAAGTGGTAATTGAAAAATAGTCACAGTTTTAAAAATAATCGAAATTTAGCCACTTTACATGTAAAGATAAATCTGAACGAAAACACTAATCAGAATCCATATAATATTCAACATAATATACTGGAGTTCCAGCATAATATACTGGTCCAGCATAATATGCTGAAAGTTCATACACAGGTGCTCCAATTTCCAGTATATTATGCTGGAATTTTCCGTGTGTTGGAGTTACAGCATAATATGCTGGAAGATCATAAACATGTGCACCAATCTCCAGTATATTATGCTGGAACTTTCCGTGTTTCAGCAAAATAGTGACTATATTTTAATGACTTTGCAAACGCTGACTGTTTTTCAGTTACCAGTTCGAAAACTGGCTAGGCCGTACTATTTTCACTAATTATACTCGTTTTCACAAAAATTAATGGGACGAACCTCAAGCGTTGGGCGTGCATTTTACAAGACAAGAGCCTCATGTTTTTGAACTTCATGTCAAACATACCAACTTATACATTCTTGCTTTGGGAAAGAAGAATGAAACATCCTCTCCACACCCATAACAAATAGTCAATTCCTTAACTTCAGCAATTGGATACCAGTCGTGGCAACCTTATTTCTTTTTCATTTGAATATTCATTTTTTTTTCAATCACCAGAAAAATGCTTGCCACTAAGTAGTGACCTAGTCTTTATTTGGACTTTGCTATCATCTTAGTGGTTAACCATGATGCAGTTATATAAATGTTAAAGAAAGATTTCTCCCTGCAATATAAAAACTAGAGTTCCCAACTTAACTATGCAACACAAGTCTTAGTTCTGTCCTTCTCTTGTCCCAATATAGTTGCAAAATGAGAAGAAGCTTTGGGAATTTAGGGCAATGGCCTCTTCTTGCTGTTGCTTTGGCAATTTGCTTTGTAGCCAGCACTGTTGTTGCTGATTACTCTTATGGCTATGCTTCTCCCTCACCTTCTTACATTTCTAAGAAGTATTACAAATCACCATCTTCACCCAAGTATCATGTACCTACTCCTTACTATAAGTCACCTGCTCCTTCAAAGCACTACTACACGTCACCACCTCCTGTAAAATACTACAAATCTCCAGCTCCCGTAAAATACTACAAGTCGCCAGCTCCCGCAAAATACTACAAATCTCCAGCTCCCACAAAATACTACAAGTCTCCAGCTCCCGCAAAATACTACAAGGTGCCAGCTCCCGCTAAATACTATAAGTCGCCGGCTCCCGCAAAATACTACAAGGCGCCAGCTCCCGCAAAGAACTACTACAAGTCACCATCGCCTACAAAGTATTACAAGTCACCATCCCCAGTAAAATATTTCAAATCGCCTGCTCCCTCTAAATACTACAAGTCACCGCCGCCACCAAAATATTACAAGTCCCCAGTTTACTACAAGTCTCCACCACCACCAGCTTATTATGAAAAATCACCTTCGTATTACAAGTCACCTCCACCTCCTCCAAAATACTATGAGCAGTCACCTTATTACAAGTCACCTCCACCCCCACCAAAATACTATGAGCAATCACCATCTTCTTACAAATCTCCACCTCCACCATACTATAAAGAATCTACACCTTCCTATAAATCTCCTCCACCTCCACCAAAATTCTACGAGCAATCGCCTATAACTTACAACTTGCCATCTCTACCAAAGACCTATGAAAAATCTCCATCTTATTATTCACCTCCACCACCCGCAAACTATTACAAGCAAACTCCCTCCTATGCCTCACCTCCACCACCTGAGAAGTACGAGCAATCCGTCACCTATGCTTCACCTCCACCCCCATCAGCATCTCCTCCACCAACCTACTACTGAAATTAACTATTCAGTCATTTTCCGCCATTTCCATGGCTTCTATTCCTTTTTGTCCTCTTATTTTTAGCAACTCCATTTCATCTTCCAAAAATTTATGTATGTTTCCCGAAATGATCGGGTTTACTTATTGTGTATTCAATGTTCTTTTGTCTTAATAATTTTTTTTATTTATTGTTTGATTTAAGTAAGATCCTCGAGATCTCCATCAATTGTTCTCATTATATCAAGATTCTATATATTCTACTTTTCTTAATACTGTCGTCTTCTTTGTATAATACTGCGTGCTTTAATCGACTGAATTCTTTCGTCGGTCCATAAGTATATCTCCTGAACATTTATTCAAACTTAGTTAAAATGAAACCGATGGTCTCTTGAGAACTTTTTCCCGAGAATGGTTTATAACCAATCTATTCTAAAACAAGAATTGTTGATCTCTTTTCTTTGGTTTTCCAAAAGATTTTAAAAATTAGAAAAGCACAAAAATGGCGCAGTTTGAGTTTTAAGGTTTGACGTATTGTATTAAAAGACCGGAACACAAGGTGAGACGTAAGCACCATGAATCTTTAAATTTTTGCTAATTTATAAGTCTACAAATAGTAGAAAAATTTAATTTTTTTTTTAAAATAGTTAAGATTATAAAACTCTAAAATAAAATAAATTGTCAAAAAATTAGCATAAATATAGAAACTCTAGCATAACTATGAAAAATAAAATAACTTTATGTAATACATCAATTACAACATCAACAATCCAACATCGAAAGAGAAAAAAAACATCTTGGAAACAAGAAGTAATATGTTCCTCATGTGAAGTAAATGAATCACGAAATATTTTCTTACTATTATTTGAAGTTCTCTCTAGATAATAAGTAGGTGTCTAGGTAAGTTTACGCGCCCCTATTTTCTCCCATCAACATATGTACCGGATAACTCTGCTCACTAACGCTGTAACAAAAAAGAAGAGATAATCTAATGTTCTAAAGACTACGCTTGCAATGTTCTCACTTGTGATTTATGATCTAAGATACATTGCTTTTGAAAGATTAAGGGTTGGTTAAGGATTTTTTTCGATTTACACAGCTAATTACACTCGATTGAACAAAATCATTTGGACGAGCCTCATGCGTTGGGCATTGGATGTGTTTTAAGGGTATATGCGGGCGCTTGCAGCACAAATTTTACGAGACAAGACTCTCCCACATCTGACTCAAACCATTTTACGAGTGCCTACTCCACCCAGGTTGTATCTACATAGTCTGTGCCGTGTGCCGAAGCACCCATTGACCTCGACGTGAACTATGTATAGTTATATAGGAAAATAATATAATGAATTACTAAGCACTCACGAACCAAAGGGCTCAGGGGTGCTTTGGTTCATTCCTGAAGTTAATATAATCTCTAGCTCCCACAAAATATTACAAGCCGCCAGCTCCCGCAAAATACTACAAGTCGCCAGCTCCTTCATAGAACTACTACAAGTCGCCAGCTCCTTCAAAGAACTTCTACAAGTCGCCATCACCTGCAAAGTACTACAAAGCACCAACTCCCGCAAAATACTACAAGTCACCAGCTCCCGCAAAATACTACAAGTTGCCAGCACCTGCAAAATATTACAGGGCGCCAACTCTTGTAAAATAATACAAATCGCTAGCTCCCGCAAAATACTACAAGTCTCCAGCTCCCGCAAAATACTGCAGGTCGCAGCTCCTTCAAAGAACTACTACAAGTCACCAGCTCCCGCAAAATACTATAAATCTCCAGCTCCTGTAAAATATTATAAGTCGCCAAATACTCTAACTAACCGGTGACAGCTGGCTTACTGCCCCACTAACTTGTCCAGCTGTCACACTCCTTCACAGTCTCTCACACTCCCCCTCAAGCTGGAGGGTGTAAAATGTTAAGCACTCCATGCTTGCTCAACAAATATTCATATTGTGCTCTCCCAAGTCCTTTGGTCAATAGATCTGCATGCTTCTCCTTTGTCCCTATATGATGAGTCTTAATCTTGCCATCTTTGATCTTGTCTCTCACAAAGTGACAACCAATCTCTATATACTTAGTCCTTTCATGAAATGTAGGATTGTCTGCAATTTGTAGGGCTGCTTTGCTATCACAAAACACATTCACAGGTTGTTCAATTGAAATGCCAAGCTCTGTAAACAATCCAAGTAGCCAAACTATTTCTGCAGTAGCTGTCGCAAGGCTTATACATTCTGCTTCTGCTGAGCTTCTAGACACTGTCTGCTGCTTCTTAGATTTCCATGACACCAATGATTCCCCAAACTTCACAAAGAAACCAGTTACTGACCTTCTGGTATTAGGACATGCAGCCCAGTCTGCATCACAGAAGCAAGTCAATTTTTTTCCACCTTTGCTGCTTAGTAGAATGCCCATTCCTGGATTTAATTTGATATATCTCACAACTCTTAATGCTGCTTCCCAATGAGACTGTTTAGGTGACTGCGTAAATTGACTAAGTGTTTGGGCATCAAATATTATATCTGGCCTTGTGATTGTCAGATATATTAATCTTCCAATCAATCATAGCTTGCAACATCCTTCATCAACTCATCTCCAAATACCCCAACATGTGCATCAAATTCTGCTGAAGTGAACTTTTGATTCATATCCATTGGAGTGGCCAGAGGTTTAGTAGCTCCTAACCCCAGATCTGAAATCAGTTGCAAGGCTAAGATCCCTTTGTTGTACCTCATAACTTCAATTCCCAAGAAATACTTCAGTTCCCCCATATCCTTCACTTTGAACTTGTGATTTAAAATATTTTTAGTTTATTGAATGAATTGCTCATTGTTTCTTGTGATGAGTGTCACACCTCCTTTTTCCCGAAATGGATAGGGAGTTTTTTCAATTAAAGTGACATTAATCGAAATAAAATTATTTATTTAAAATCAGAGTCGCCACTTAGGATATTTATGGTGTCCTAAGTCACCGATTTATTTTAAATCCCAAATCGAAAAAGTTTTGACTCCGTTTTACAGTCCGCGAAACACAGAAATTCGGGTAAGGAATTCTGTTACAAATCGCCTGCTTCGTTTTTCAAACCTTTTAACCACTTTTAATTATTTATGGAATTTGATTGAAAAAGTCGCAATGTCGCACACTCGTTTGTTTTGTACACATTGTGAATCACGTCAGGGGAACCGTACCCACGATCTACAACATGTTTAATTTTATTATTGTTCGAAGTTACGGTCGAGTCACGTGAAACGTGCACCCGAATTTTGGGAATTACGTATCACAACTACGCCACGGGAACCGTATGCGTAGTTGTGACGATTTAATTACGTGCCTAAAGAAAACTATGATGTTTGTGACTTATCTCCTAATCTGATTTGAGATTCTTGTAAGGCCATGAATTATGGATTGAAATTATTGTGGATAAGCCCATATGTATTAATTAATTCTAATCCTTTGGACCCTGGCAGCTCTAGAATTTAATTAAATTCAAATTCTAAGCGTGAGGGACATGCATGGAAACGCTAGCAACCAGGCCCAAGAGAGTGATTCATATCAATGAAGCTCCAAGGCTCCATCGTTAATAAACAGAACTGGGCCTCTAAACTGTTGGGCCATGTAGTTGTGAGTCCAGTGTACTCCAAATCCATACAAAGGCTCAAATCAAAATTTACGGGGTGGGAGAATCAGAATACATTTCAACCATAATTCTTAATAGAATTATTAAACTACTCATATGAGTGACTGAGCCATCATTTTTCATGAAGGGAACTTTAAAAAATAGAAACTAAATTCAAACAAACGGCCAAATCATACTTAATTACTCCATTGAGACATGTCTATCTAATATTAAAAAATACAATCAATTTGATGTACAAATATCGGAATTCGAATCTTAAAGTATCACATACTTCTATTACAATTTTCCATGACTTTGCTAACTAATGAATACTTTCCAACTCAGATTTGTCTAACCACATAAATTTTAATCCGCAACAGGAAGTAATCAATCTTCAACATGCTACCAGTGACAGAATTCCATTCCTTGGCATTAAATTTTGCTGATTTGGCCAACTAGTGGCCAAATCCGTAAATTATAGCCATGTGATCATCAACAATTAACTTCAATATCCTCAAATTGGCACCAAATCATTTATCACACATATAGAAAACTGTGAAAACTTTATGTTTAGAGCTATTTGCTAGATCTGGAGGATTTGAACAAACTTCAAATATCATTTAAGACTAACAATGAGTTCAACAGTCAATGACATGCTTAGTTGATCAAATTAATTCACATAAGTGCTGTATTTCAAAACTACTTTACTATTTCCATTATTTCCTGAGGTGAGAAACATATCTAAGATAACACATGAAGAGAAAATAGTGCAGCAATACTCATAAATCAAACAAAATAACAACACTTGATCATTCAACAAAATGTAGCAACATAAGAAAAAGATTGGTAATAACCTAACTGGAAACAGAATGCCAAGAGATAGACCAAGGAAGAGTTTGATTCAAACCTGTCACGACCCAAAATCCATTAAGGGTCGTGATGGCGCCGCATACCATTGTCAGGCAAGCCAACACCAATTAACTAGTAACTTCTCGTTTTAGATATTTCTGAAATTACTTTTTTTAATACATAATAAATTTCACTGAATAAATAATGATACCTTTAAAAAATTTTAAATTACTGAATAATCCCATAGACATCCCAGAACCCGGTGTCAGAAGTGCATGAGCAATTTCTATGAAACAATATGGTACAATAACCGTTCGGAATACAAATTGGACAGAAAATAAATATAGTAATCTGAAAGAGACTCTGCTGGCTGCGGGTCGTCTCGAGAAGTGCAGCTCACCTAAGTCTCCGTGTCAACCATGCCGCTACGCCCACTAGGCCACTAGAGATACATGTGCATGTGCAACAAAAATGCACAGCAAGTGTAGCATGAGTACGAAAATAACGTATACTGAGTAAGTATCCCATCTAATCTGGAAGAAGTAGAGACGAGAGGTCGACTTTGACACTTACTAGGGGTCCAATAATAATATATCAATAATGCGAATGATCATAGATTTATTAAAAACGGCAGTAACTCAAGTAAGTCAAGAAACAAGTAGACATCCCTTTTTATATTTAGAAGTCTCAAAATTCATAATCCATTATTTATCAATTTATCTCACACCAGGGAGGCAATATCAATTTGTAAATCTCAAGCAAGCGTCACAAGCATGCACAAATCATACCGAGGTCGTACAGCCCGATCCA